TCTAATAATATTAGTAAGATTCCTGAACTGGATTTTTTTGTACTATTTTTCAAAGAGTACCTGCTCAATAGAACATAATAAGTGAACTAAAACAATAAAAAAGATGACTATGATAAAAAGAAATAAAGCTTTCAATACTTGGTATAATAAGCTTGATATAAAATTTTCATTTCTGGCACTAACTTCATCATTCATACACTTCAAATATAGCTCTTTATATAAAAAATATGTCTATTACTCTGAAATATAACAATCAAAACTTATTTTAACATACTTCAAATATAGCTCTTTATATAAAAAATATGTCTATTACTCTGAAATATAACAATCAAAACTTATATTAACATACTTCAAATATAGCTCTTCATATAAAAATATATCTATTACTCTGAAATATAACAATCAAAACTTATATTAACATACTTCAAATATAGCTCTTCATATAAAAATATATCTATTACTCTGAAATATAACAATCAAAACTTATATTAACATACTTCAAATATAGCTCTTTATATAAAAATATATCTATTACTCTGAAATATAACAATCAAAACTTATATTAACATACTTCAAATATAGCTCTTCATATAAAAATATATCTATTACTCTGAAATATAACAATCAAAACTTATATTAACATACTTCAAATATAGCTCTTTATATAAAAAATATATCTATTACTCTGAAATATAACAATCAAAACTTATATTAACATACTTCAAATATAGCTCTTCATATAAAAATATATCTATTACTCTGAAATATAACAATCAAAACTTATATTAACATACTTCAAATATAGCTCTTCATATAAAAATATATCTATTACTCTGAAATATAACAATCCAATTCTTATATTAAAATACCTCAAATACTTAAAATATAACTTGTTTAAATCTCTCTGAAACCAAAAAATAGTAAACAATGGAATGTATATTGTTGAAGAAATCAACAGTAATCAAGAACTATTTCTTTTTTCCCATTTGTTTAAGTGCACCAATCTCATAACATGTCTTGATTAAATAAAACTAGTGAAGTCCAATTAAATGTTCAAAAATACCAGAAAAATTTGACATATATATATGAAACATACCATCAAACTAAATCTTTAACATCTAAAATATGTGGTTTTAAATCTTTCATCATTCCAAACATTCTCACACGTTTTCTTCCTGCAATTAACAAAATCAAAACCATATATCATTTGATGGTGATCAATCAAGCCTTTTTTTTGTACTTATAAATTCTAGAGATTTCATTGGACTTTATCAGATAAGTTTTAGAATATCCCATGAATTGAATAAAAAGTCTTGATAAACTCAAGTGAAATACTCTATAACTGGTACACAAGGAGATTTTATATGGGATAAATAAATAACTATTTCTTGAAGCTAACTGTTAACACCTTACAAATAAATGACATCACATAAATAGAGTGCATTAAAACAGAATGATTCATTAGACTTCAAACTACTGTAAATGATTATCATATACTAACCAAACACTTTCTTTAACTGATCATCGCATAGCATAAACTGTTTATTTTTAGGATCCTATAGAAAAATAAAGATAATGTTAAACAGGTTAAGGTGTGTATGTCATATTATTTTCTT